GGGGGGGGGGGGGGGGGGGGGGGGGGGGGGGGGGGGGGGGGGGGGGGTGTACTCACAGTCGTGCATGCCGTAGTCGTTGCCAAGTGACAAAAACCCAATCCCGATGGCAAACACCGAGGGAGGGAGGTACGGGGGAGGGGGGAGGGGAGGGGTTCAGGGCCTGCAAGAGACAGGATGGGGCTTATATCATAGGTCGTACCTGCCGCATGAACATCCTCGTGGAGAGGTTGAGGGGGGAGCCGTGTGGCGGAGTGATGGGGCGGGGATAGGCCTAGCCGAGTCCCGCGCACCAAAGCTTGCGACACGAAACGTTGCCATTTTGGGCTACGCACGGAATATGACCACAGGCACCTTACGTGGTATCGTGCGCCCATGCAATGGACTGCCTTTTCCAGTTTTATCGCGCCCGCCGTTGCCCTACGAATCGCGGCGTTGCCCTTTCCTATCAATCGAGCACGCCTAAACCTGAAAGCGCTCTCAGGCGATCGACGCGCAAAGAATGTGACCGCAAACCTATACCTGCTGTCGACGTACTCGGTAAACTTTATACAAGAAATCTAAGTACCGGGGCACGGGTCGACCGACATCGTCACGATGTCAAGGTGATGACAGCCTAAAGCGTACGGGTACCTGGAGAGCTTCCGTTGCTAGCATGGCTAGTGCCGGCAACCAGTGTCGCACGTAGTCGCCGTCGGCATCGTACGTCCTCGCCTGCTTTTCGACCTGATTGGTGCACGTTTGTTGGAGGAGACCCATCCATGCGGACGGACGGAGAAGTATTTTTCAGGGGTTTTCTCCTCACGACTGTTGGGTACGAATGTCGACAAAGACGTAGCAATGCTGAGCTACGTTTCTTTGTGCCGAAATTGCGGTGTTCCCCCGGCCCGAATGTACTTGAGACACCCATCATGTTCAAAGTTCACATGGATGGCTGGGTTGAGCGGTACACCCGAAGACAACCGAGGTGCTGACCTAAAGCGAGATTCTCCTGGACAGGCCATAAACACGTCGTCCCGGCCGAGAATTTGCGAGAACGGTAGGACATACAGACAAGAATAGCACCACATAGAGTGCAGCGAGAGATGCGGGAGGCAAGCACACGAATTTGTTGGGTATGCACGGCAACGTGTGGCAGAAGACAAACGTAATATGTATCACCATTCTCAGCTCACGCTAAAATAGCGATCCTCTCGAGGATCGAAGCCCACGCCGGCCACGTAGTTCCAGTTTCCGTAGTTGGACGCCGGGTCGTAGTCCAAGAGGTACTCTTCGAAGTGCTCCGCCCCCAGCCTCCAGTCCATCTCTAGATCCTTCGTGAAAAAACTCGCCACCACCTGTCGCCCCCTTCCGGTAGGGATTTCGTAGGCGGCAGGGTTGTGGGTACAAACGAAGACTATGTTAGTTTGTACTAGTGCTGATAGCCGTTCTCGAGGGTCTACACAAGTTTAGATTTGGAAATGATGGGGCGAATAAACCAATCCTGTTCCGCAAGCAATCTCTCGAGGTTTCAAGGTGAGCGCTTTCACACCGGGCTACATATCCTTCAAAAGCACAACGGGGCGTGAGTGTTTAGATGCCTGCCCCGACGCTCCTGATCCTACTGCTGCTTTCGCGTCTTTTCGCAAAGCCCAGGGGAAACCGTTGCTCGGAGGCTCAGAGAGCTGTCTAGCAACGCCTACGGAAGCGGTCCAATCGCCTCGGCGTAAGCCGCAAAACAAGAGACACAAAAGATCCCCACCTGTTGGACATAAACCCGGAGGCCTTGAGCTCCCGCATGTTGGCGTCGACGAACGGGTACCCGGTCCTGCCCTCCTTCCAAGCCGCCAAGAGGCCGGCGTCGTCCCGCCAAGTCTGCCTGTCGGGGTCGCGTCGCGAGCCACCCAGGTGGAAGATGGCGTTGCCGTACTTGACGGCGCTGTAGCGAAAGAAGTCCCTCACGAGGAGCTCGAATATGAGCCAGTAGGTGGAGTCGTTCGCGACTCGGTCCTTCTCGTACTTCCTGACCTGTGAAATGAGAGGCGCCGTGGAGACAAGCGGGGCGGATGCGCTCGAAAAATGAGGGGGGTCCGCTACTGTCAACTGCTGAGCTGAGCGCTGAACGCAGGCATGCGTTTCTTCGGGGTTAATTGCTATTCAATCTACAGCTACTCTCGTGGGTACCTACATTTTTTTTTTCTCCCATCATTGGACTCTGTCGTCTGCCCCTCTGACCCCTATCCTCCACTTCTACTAGCTAGACGACCCAACCGGGGTCACATCGCAGGGGGGGGCTGGACCCCCTCCTGCGGTTCCTGCCTGAGGTATTTTTATCGCGAGAAGGGTACAGCAATCCCTTCCCTCGCGACTTACGAAGTCGATTATAGTTTACCAACAACGAGTTTTGCAACGCGTCGCTTTCATCCTAGAACAGGATTGATTTAGTGAGAAAAAAACTAATTCTGTCGGGACTCGAGCCCATGACCTAGCCCTTAGCAGGCTGCGAGGTTACCTACTAGACCACCGGGGCGACCGGCTACATATGTACGCCGCCAGCTGCAGGATTAGGAGCATCTCAAGCAGTCACCTGCCGCCACCCCCCCCCCAAAAAAACAAGCTCACGCGAGTCGTCGGGTCTCTCAAGAAAGCAAACCCCGGGCAAGGGAAAAACAACCGACCCTGACCTCCTTGACGATCGTCCTGGGGGAAAGGCACCCAAGGGCCAGCCACGGCGAGAACTTGGACGAGAAGCCGCTCCCGAGCAGGCCGTTGCGGGTCGCCTTGTACTCTCGCAGGCGATCCTCCTCCCAGATATACCTTTGAACGCGGCTGAGCCCCGCCGTCTCGCCCCCGATAAAGGGAAGCACCGACCTGGCGTCTCGCTCAGGCGCCGTGCCGAGGCCCAGCTCTTCCGTCGTGGGGATCGCTACGAATAGGGTTGGGGTGACGTCGCTGTCGTGCAGGCCCGCGGGAAGGGGGCGGAAAGGGCTTGGCAGGGGCGTCGGCGATCTTATCTCGCAGTTTGGCTGCACGGCTTTCCGAAACTGCGTGCATTGGGACACGAAAGCATCGGTCAGAGGTGCGAGGGAGGAGGGGAGGATGAGGCGAGTTAGCCGGTAGGTCCCTTCGGTGGTCAGATTTGGATGGGGCCAGAGGTAAACCGCCAGTTCTTTGTTGCGTTTTTTCACACCGAACGAATACGCCAACAAGGAGCAGTTCTGAACGCATAATAGGTGACACCATTAGGATCTCGCGTGACCCCGCAAAATCGTGTATGCGCGTGGGCCGATTATTCGTTTTTTGTGTGTGTGTTTTTCCAAAACAAATGTTGATCCGCACTACCGGCTGGTGACGCCAGAACACGTTTTGACTTGATATTAGACTTTGCATTGGCATCACGGAATAGTCGCTCCCACAAGCGAACTGGCTCTTGGTATTTGACAGAAACCTGTGAACAGGTCATATGGAGGGAACTACCTGTCAGTTTTTGGAATCGACATCAAAAAGCCGTCAAACACTTCAACAACAAGTGATTTTCGGTGTTTTTCAGCGGCGGCCTCGTACGTGTGTGGCGATTGTGAAAATCGCCACAGGTTAAGTCACAGCTCTCGTTCCTGCCGAGGCAACACAAAAAACCGCATCACAATCCACCACTCCGACGCCACATAGCACGTGTTGCAATATCGGGTACAGATGGGTAACCAGAAGACAAAGGCTAAGTCCGCCTCAGCGCGAAAACGAAAAAATCAATGAGAGATTCGTTGCATTTTTTTTCAATTCTTTTTTGAGTCCTGGACTGATTTGTGTACAACGCGGCGTATTGATACAGCAGGCGCTAGAGCAGCTTTTGCTCCCGTTCCAGCGCCAAAAGTACAAGTAGCACACTCGCGACGCAAGGCCACTTGAACGTCAGCAAGGTTGGGGAAGGGGAGGGTCGGATGTGATTTCTTTTTGTGTGCTGCGTTCTTTTTTCGTTTCAGTCACCCGCTCTTTTTTTGCGGTGCGGATTTTTTTCAGCATGTGTGCGAGCTTTTGTGCAACGCGCACATCCGCGCACGCGACGGCTAGAGCAGCTTTCGCTACCGTTCCAGCGCCAAAAGTAGCTGTGGATACCCCACTCGCGACGCAATGTCACTTGAACTTCGAATAAGTTGGGGAAGGGGGGGGACGGATGCGATTCCTTTCGATGTCAACTGAAAAAACAAAAAAACACGCACGCATGCACCTCGGTGAATTATTGGAGGTGCGGAGTTTTTTCAGCATGTGTGCGAGCTTTGTGCAACGCGCATCCGCGCACGCGACGGCTAGGGCAGCTTTCGCTACCGTTCCAGCGCCAAAAGTAGCTGTGGATACCCCACTCGCGACGCAATGTCACTTGAACTTCGCACAAGTTGGGGAAGGGGGGGGACGGATGCGATTCCTTTTCGATATCAACTTGAAAAAACACACACGCACGCACGCGCACACACCGCGGTTGAATTTTTGGGATGGAGTCTTCCGCGCATCGTACATCAACTTTTGTCCTACGCGCACAGCCTCTACCGCGACCGCTAGAGCAGCTTTTGCCAACGTTCCAGCGCCAAAAGTAGCTATGGACACCCCACTCGCGACGCAGTGTCACTTGAACCTCGCCAAAGTTGGGGAAGGGTGGGGTTGGATACAAGTCCTTTCTGATGTCAACTTGGAAAAAATCGATTTCTTTCAAGGTTCCTTGGAAACAAAAAAATTCAGGGCTCCGCGTCATCGCCGCTCTCGTCCTCCGACGCACAACTCAGATTCTCTGACGCATCAGACTCTGACTCTTCAGGCGACGACAGCACCTTCTCCATCACGCTCTTAACAACCCACTTGCTGCCATTCTTTGAATCCTCACTCGTCTTTCAAAAACTTTCTCCAGTCATGCTCGCGTTTTCGTAGTTGCCTCTCGTTCGGAACTGCGTGAGAGGCACTCTTTTTCAACGCCCTCGCAACGGACGAGGAGAAGGTGCAGCAGCCGTGGGTTGGGCCTGACCCTCACCGGCGTCGTCGGCCATTTCCGTGGCGACGGTCCGCGGGGGTTGGTCCTCGTCCAGTTGGGCGGAGCACCGCACCATACACTTTAAATGCGGCTGCTGTGGTGTGTGCTCTCTACTCGAAACCACACCCACGCCTCCAAAAAAAAAACTAAACAAAAACACGCTCGAACACAGATCGTTGTGGCCTGTTCGCCTGGAAGTTGACTCGATTGTCAAAATTGGTGGGTTTTCATTGATCGAAAAATATCCAGGAAGGAATTAAAGTCTGTTCAAATGTAGGTCCGTGTGACAGAAAATCGGCCCAAAAAGAGGGTCAGGCGCAAGCCTAACTGTAGAGTATGTCCTACAGTAGGATTGCACACATGTAAGGGGCCTTGATTGGGGAGCAACACATCAATCTGCTTGAATTTTAAGTGCACAGCAGCTGAACACGTCACACCTCGTTCCATATTGCAAAGACGCCAACAATGGCATTGGATCAAACTCACCGGCGTAAATACCTCCGGCAAACCGCTCGGAAAATCGTACGGCAGGTCGGAAGGATCGTGCAAGGTGTTGCCCCACACCTCCGTCACGGACGCACCAGTTGCATCACCACCAACGCCGCCCGCAGACCCCACCAATGACAACGCAGACTTGACGGCCGCGTGCACGCTCTTCTCCTCGGAGCAAAGGTCGGTGTGAGCGTATACGGTCACCACTGAAGCCCCGCTCCCAAGCCTTGCGGCGACAGCCGGGATGGCGTCCTCGGGGTGCCCCCGCTGTATCAACAGGTCGGACCCTTTCGATCTAAGGCGGGTTTGCAGGTCGGCGACGCTTTCGAAGAGGAAGCGGCAGCGCGCCGCGGACATCCTTCGCGTTCCTCGCCTGGGTTTGCCGCAACATGGTGCAGTGAAGCCGATTGAAGGCGAGGCATGTGACTTAGTTCTGGTTGTGTCATTACATTCGCAAGTGTGTCAGATGAGCCTGGTCATCGAGTAGAACCGGCTGCGGCTGCAGCAGTGGTGAAGCAAGTGGCGATCATTTGCATACAGGCTGTACTTTCAGAGGTGATCACAACATCCTAGCATGAACTACCATAAACGTAGTAGCGGGCCACCGGTCGTTTACACGCCCATTCCGTCTCCTTCTCTGTACCTCGACGCCCATCCAAGGATTGAGGAAAAGGGTTACAACGTATACCAACATCGGGAATCAGCTGATACTAATCTATGGTATGCTGATGGACACCCGCACTAGTTCTACATACGCCTACGCTTTGAGCCTGCTTCTTGTCGTAGGATGTACTGAGCAAAAAAATAAGCTTAGGACGAAGAAGGAGAGAACACCTGATTCTGTAACGGATGTGCGTGCTTGCTTCTGCTTCTCTACCAAGACATGCTCGATGTGCATTTTGATCAACTTGACACGTGGTAGAACCGAGAGATCCCCCCTCTAGAATTCCGTGCTCGACTCGACTCGCTCTCGAGGCATCACCGAGGCCCCCGCGGATCGCCGAGGTGCCTCACCTGCTGTGCCCAAACCATCGATCGTCGATGCAGAAAACGTGAGCTACGTGCGAGCTGTTCCGGTGGGCCAGGGCAAGAGGCTCGTGATCTTCCAACCGCAGGTCTGTGTACTTGAACCACACAACCCCAACGGTATCACCTCGAGCGATACCACTAGCACCATCAGTGGTCAAGCTAGTTGCCACCATACTCGCCATGACGGCACCTTTCACTCTCGACCCGTCGAACCAATTGGAACTGAGGAGCTCGGATGGCCCGGCCGGCAGCGCGGTTTGTGCCGGAGCTTTTATTGTAACTTGGGAAGCGGTGCCACCAGCCAAAAAGCGAGAAATGTTTGGAAGCACCCCTCCCTCACTATTGTGTGCACTACACAGGTAGGCGCTGCGGCAGCACACGCGTGGTTCTGCCGGTGTCTCGGTGTCACTGCTCTGGCGCACGCTAAGGCTACATGTTACATGGCTATCGAAGTACTGCTGTATCGAAGTGCTGTGCAATTTACGCCGCATCCTGACAGTCCCGTCGGCGCAACATGGTAGCGATTAGCGGTGTCGCGGCGTCACGCCCCACGTCCCCCTCTTCCCTCTTTCCGAACAGCCATGGCAGCCTTCCCCCTACTCTTGCTTTCCTCTTGGTTAATGCCACTGTAGGTGGTCGTGGAAGAAGGCGAATGGGTGGCAATGAATGCGATGCTGGTCTTTCGGTACTTGGGTGATGAATAGGATAACGAAGAAATAGTCTACTGCTGTGCTGTAGGTTGATTAATTTTTCCTTGAGGTTTGCTGTCTCTTCAGGATTTGGACAGAGGATCGAGTTCTCTGAAGAACGTGTGGTTCACTTGCCAAAATTTTCGCGAAAGAAAGGAACGGCGAGGGATCCTTCGAAGTTCCTGCACGGCAGCGTTGAAGTATGACGCCCGCCAAGTCCGTTATCATTGTCGCTTTGCAGCGCACATCTGAACATCCGCCGTCAGGCTGGTGTTGTGGAAAGAGGCTGACAAGAGTAATAGTCAACTCTGCGCACTACTGCTGTCGCTGTGCTTATCTTGGACCTTGCGAATGGACCTTGTGAGGGCGCGCATGTAGACAAATCATTTTCGTGGGTCTTCGACAGATGCTGTGCATCAAGCACCGATTACCCGTAACTTCACAATGCATCACTTTACAAAAACACAAAACGCTCCCCCAAAGAACCATTGATGTCAATACCTTCACCACGACATACTTGCGTCTTTAACTGAAATAGCGAAATCCGTTTCAGAATCCCTCAATCCACGAACCCCATCCAGCGGTCACGCGCGGCACTCGATATCGCCGAAACCGACGACGCATTGGCTGGCGAACCCGAATATCCTTTTGGATGAGAAGACACGCTGAATTGAGCATAACACTACACGTATCAACAGCAATGGCCGCACACGAGGCCTCTCGTGCTCACAGGTCAGCCCTGTCCTGAGAACCCAGCACCACATACTCAGGTCTGCAAGCGGGACGCCTTAAACTTCCTGCCGGAATTGCCCCCTTTCCCGCCGCCGCCCCTTTTCCCTCCTCCACCTCTGCCCCCCCCTCCGCGGCCACCCCGCCCATCACCTCCCACCCGACCACCGCCCCTTCCACCGCCTGCTTTGGAAAACTTCAGAGGGGCGATGGGGTCCGGGTACACGCTAGTTGGGATGGCGTGCATGTGCCGCAGCATCGTTGTTATTCCGCCCGGAGTCTGTTGTTTTGTAGTTTTCCCGAGAGCGGGAGTGCACAGAGACGAGGCAACAACGACACAAGGGTGGACAGAAGAGACGAAGGAAGCAAGGTTGCGTTCAAGCAAGTCAACAGAGGAAACAAGATACATACGTCCGCCGACACTGGTCGTCCAAAATTTCTCCCCGCCCAGAAAAAAACGCAACACACCTCTGTGTTATTCTCGCACTTGAATTGCGTGGTCCGTTCCAACTTGGAGGGCATGGCAGACACCGCACCATCTTCGGTAGGCAAAGGATAAAATATTCCTGCTCATCTCAAGTTTTCCCTCCACCTTGCAGCTCATCTGCTGCCCTTTTCCTTGTATGTGAACGCAATTCTTACCTGGAGGGCTGTGGTTGGGAGCACGGCCAGTTCCGGTAGCCAGTGACGCATGTACGCGCCGTCTGCATCGTACGTCTTGGCCTGTTTTTCGATCTGATTCATCCGCGTACGTTTTCGGGAGAAGCACCGAGGGAAGGTACAGAGTGTGAACCACGTAGTCTGGCCAAGTTTTTACGTTCAAAGGAGTACTTGCCCCTCGAGCGTTGACCGACTCTTCGCGAGAAACGCAAACCTTCGGGAGAGGGAAAAACAACACAAAAAAAAAACAGACAGGGTAAGGAGGTGCCGCAAAAGCCTAAGACAGACCACACACGTTGAAATAGCGGTCCTCTCGAGGGTCGCTGCCTACGCCGGCCACGTAGTTCCAGTTTCCCCAGTTGGATGCCGGGTCGTGGTCCAAGAGGTACTCCTCGAAGTGCTCGGCCCCTAGCCTCCAGTCCATCTGCAAGTCTCTCGTGAAGAAGCTCGCCACCACTTGCCGCCCCCTAGAGAGGTCATTCGTGGCGCAGCACAACGCGTGGGCAAAAGCTTCCACGTGAAAAACTTATCATGGCGAGGGAGCACGTGTTTGGTGGGGAGGATGGCCGAGATTGGGGGAATGAACACTACACGGTCGTGCGATCAGCGACGTGTCTCGCCCGACAATTGATACTTACGTACATAATTCTTGGAGTCTCAAGTCGATTGAGTCGTACGCAACTTTAGACGAAAGGAACCCATATCCAACTGATTCCCCCGCGCCGAATTCTCACAAGCCCACCCACCTGTTGGACATAAAGCCAGAGGCCTTGAGCTCCCGCATGTTGGCGTCGATGAATGGGTACCCGGTCTCCCCCTCCTTCCACGCCTCCAGGGAGCCGGCGTCGTCGAGCCATCTCTGCCTCCCGGCATCTCGCCGCGGGCCGCCCAGGTGGAAGATGGAGTTGCCATTCTTGACCGCGCTGTACCGGAAGAAGTCTCGCCACAGGAGCTCGAATATGAGCCAGTAGGTGGAGTCGTTCGCGACTCGGTCCTTCTCGTACTTCCTGACCTGTTGGATGGGAGAAAAAACGAAAAACACAAGGGGTTCCGGTTACTGTTTTCGTGAAGTATGCTTGTTGTGTGAACAAACCCGCAGAGAGGCTGACGCTCGTGTGTACGCTGATACAGATCTGCTTGTCGCGGCATACGGCATGCGGCACGTTCTTTTCTGCCGCCGAAACAGTAGCAGTTCGGGCTGCCCACGCAAGAAAGGTGCCCTATCGGGGAATTAAAAAGGGCTGGTGGATATCGCACACAGTGTTGTCGGACGACAAAAATTGCACCACTTCCGCGGCGTTCTCTTTTCAAACACCCCACGGCACTCCCGTCACCCGTAGCTTTCACCTGCCCTCAACAGCGCTGCCTTCTGAGTTGATGCACGAGATGATTCCTGTTGTTCTGCTTCGCCGTTAGTCCCTTCTTCTGTGGTTACATTCAGTGCGTCCCCAGACTCGTCAAACATCCAGCGAGCCCGGGATGCGACCACAACGATAGGCACAACAGCAGAAGAAGCACCAAGCATCTCAACCCCTCACTTCCCGTGTGAGCATCGTGGATCACTCCCGACAAAAGACATGAACTCAAAACGAAACAGTCCAGCACCAGGGTCCCCTTCGCGCTGGACGAAAGTGCGCTCAAACACAAAAATTCAGCGACGCGTGACCCTGACCTCCTTGACGATCGTCCTGGGGGAAAGGCACCCAAGGGCCAGCCACGGTGAGAACTTGGACGAGAAGCCGCTCCCGAGCAGACCGTTGCGGGTCACCTTGTACTCGCGCAAGCGGTCCTCGTCCCAGATGTAACTTTGGACGCGCCTGAGCCCCGCCGTCTCGCCCCCGTTGAAGGGAAGCACCGACCTGGCGTCTCGCTCAGGCGCCGTGCCGAGGCCAAGCTCTTCCGTCGTGGGGATCGCGCCGGGCGCTGACGCTTCGCCGTCGTCTTGGGTGGTGCCGGTGGGTACGGGGCGGAAAGGGCTTGGCAGGGGCACCGGCGGTCGCATCTTGCACGAGTACTTCGACTCCACCGACTTGCGGAACTGCGCGGCGTGCGCGGCGCAGATGGCATAACAGCGGAACGCAGAAGAAAGGACGACGCCCCGACATAGAACTTTGCTGAGAACGAGCGTGTTGGTGAATGGTTCGCGTTGGTGGGGTGCGGCGAGGCCACATGATGAACGGGGGTAGAAAAAGGAGGTGTGGAAGGGATTAAATGCTAAGCAACATGCCGAACACGCGATCACGGCGTGGCGGTCTTCCAACGCCGCGACTGATGTTGTTCTTTGTCGTTAGATATGCTAAAGTCACTTATACACGAGAACACTTGTGTGACGGGGTGGACATCTGCCCAAAGGAATAAGCTTCAACGTCGTCAAAGTTGGTGCTCACATCTCGATGACTCGACCGGGTTTTGAGCACGAGCAAGCGTGAAAGGCAGTCGGCAACAGACTATAGTGTGAGATGCAAGCTTTCCGACAACGAAGCGAAAGGAGTATACACACAACACGCGGTTGAAAAATGGGAGAGAAGTAGTGTAGATGCGGCACGAATATGCCGCCTCCTCCCCGAGCACTACTGGGTGGGGCTGCTCGTGACCGACGTCAACTCTACGGGATCCAATGACCAGGCAATATAGTCAGTAAACAAACGTGATACGGAATTTCCTGGTGCACGCCTCCACCGCCGCACCTGCGTGAAGACTTCCGGGACGCCGCTCGGAAAGTCGAACGGCAGGTCGGCCACGTCGTGCAAGGTGTTGCCCCACGCCTCCTTCACCGCAACAGCGGCGCCACCGCCGCTACCGGCAGAAGACGCTGCCGCCAGCGCCGACTTGACCGCCGAGTGCACGTCCGCCTCCTCGGAACAGACGTCGGTGTGCGTGAAGAGAGTAACCGCTGCCGCCGCACCGCCCCCCAGCCTCGCGGCCAGCGCGGGGATGACGTCTTCAGGGTGTCCCCTTCGCACCAGCAGATCGGACCCTCTCTCCCTGAGGCGGGCCCGCAGGTCGGCGACGCTCTCGAGGAGGAAGCGGCAGCGGGCTGCGGACATCTTGTTTGTCCCACGCCTACGGCAAGGGTTCATCAGAGGAGGCAAGGGGCGCTCGTGTGTGGGAATATGTCACAACATTATGCTTGTTTACCGCTCGACGGTACGCAGTTAGGTATGTTCTCAGCCCGACTACATGTAGACTGCATTGTTACCACCACTGCCTGATGCTACACGGCCAAATCCTAGCTTAACTGCATGCTGCGTGTGTGGTTTCATCCCATTTATTCTGGGCGCCAATCTACACTCCTCTCGGTATATTTTTGACGCGCACCAGCCCGGGTAGTAGCATACAGAAGGGTGAAGCAATTCGGATACATTTTATCTCTCTCGACGTTTCCCTCAGCGGTTACCCTTCAATTTTTGACGCGAAAACGTCGTCTTCGCACTTGATTCCTTCGTTAAGTGTTTTCTCAATATCCTGCGTTTTCCACGTCTAAACGCGTCTTGTTCGCTCCAGAGAGAACCGACCCCTCAACAAAGACAAAAGTCAGTGAGTTACAAGGGTACCGATGGAACCACCAGGGTTGCATAGAAAAGATATACTAGCTATCGCTGCAACGAGCAACAGCTGATAGATGTAACTGTCGTCAGACGTGTGCGTCCACCAGGCAGAAGCGCGTGTGATTAAGAGGGGCACCGCAGGTAGTGGAATAGAGCCCTTTCTTTTTAATTGCGACTGACTTCCTTTGTCGTGCGTCAGTCTGCCACCAGCTGCTGTGGTGTCTGCTGCTGGCACCTCGCATTGTGTCTCTCTCGGTTAGGCGCCCGCTGGTCTGGTGTCGGCGGCTGCCCTCGCTGTCGCCTAGCGGCGGCTCTCTGCCGGGCCGCCCGCAGCCTGTGTTTGAGAGAGAGAGCGAGCTGTTCCCGCCCTGAACCATTAACCCCGTCCAGCCGGGATGTTTCATGAAGAAACCGCATAGGCTATATATGATGATGCGTTCATTCATGCACATATATCTCTGCTGCCGCGAAGTAGACACCAAGACAGGTAAACAAAACTTCCGGTGCGCGCATCCACCACTGGTGGTGGTAGCATGGCACACGCCACACACGATCATCTACCACCGCACACAACGCCGCCAGAGACAACGACTGGTGGCGTGGGCTACGCTATTCTCGGACACGGTGAATCTCCTTTTGACAAATTGTGTGTGATCGTTCAACATGGACGGGCGGGTGAACTTCCATTGTCACGGTTTGAAAGGAGTTTGGTTACAGGCGACCCCCGCGCTTTCAATAGCTCATTCATGTCTGCGCCTGCGTGTATCCCCAAGAAGACTCGGAATGCCCAGAGAGATCCGTATGACCACACCCGTCATGATCTGAATCAAACTGGCCAGCCGTTGTGTCATATTGCCGTGTCGTCATAAGGCTGTCGTCAGGCCGTTGATGTTATTTTCTGTATTCATTATTTTTGGATGCGGAGACCCGCGGGCCGAATACAGCCTCTATTTCGCTGGCCACTGTATGTTGTCGCTCGCTGTGCCCGCTGTGCCCGCTGTGCGTATGTCGCTCGGCTGTGCGTGTGTGCCTGTGCGTGTGTTCTGCAGCTGCAATAGCTGCAACCTGCTGTGTGCGGTCTGCTGACCCTGCTTTAAAATCAGTGACGTACTGTAGTCTAAAACCTAGACCAAGCGGACAGACGTACAAACTTTTTCGCTTGGGTGGAGCCCTATTATTGCGGCGAGACCTCAGGCCAAATTAGAAATCTCGCTTCGCTCGAATGAATTGTGCGTCATTTTACGAATTTCAAAAATCAACTTTTTTTCATGTCTTCACTTCAAATCAGTGCTCACAGCACTAAAGAGTGCCCTTGAGTCCAACCCATGGTCACACAGAAGGACCCCTCGATACCCTCCCCTCCTGCAGGACATTGCCTTCGATTTTTATCCCTTATGTAGCTGGGTTTTCCCTGGATGTTCCGAAGGTTTTTTTCTCGACTGGGCGAAGAGACCGCTGACATCATTAAGGCTGCGGTGGACCACACATACAGTACTCTTCAACCACCGTTGCCCGTTCTCTACACACACACCTGCTGGTATCCCCCACATGCACACGAGTACACATGGTCGCATCAACACGCCACCCCCTTGCTCACACAAATGTTTGGTACATAGCAGCAGGCAAACACGCATCAGGGCTCTCATCGGTGACTGCTGTAGGTGCTGGGCGTGAACTGGGGGGCTCGATCGAGAGAGGCAGACACACACCGGTCGCCCCGGTGGTCTCGTGGGTAACCTCGCAGCCTGCTAAGGGCCAGGTCATGGGTTCGAGTACCGGCAGAGTGAGTTTTTTTTCTCACTAAATACATCCTGGTCTAGGATGAAAGCGACGCGCTGCAAACCTCGTTGTTAGTAAACCATAATCGACTTCGTAAGTCGCGAGGGAAGGGATTGCTGTACCCTTCTCCCGATAAAAATACCTCAGGCAGGAATCGCAGGAGGGGGTCCAGTCCCCCCCTCCTATGTGACCCCGGTTGGGTCGGCTAGCAAGTAGAAGTGGAGGATAGGGGCCAGAGGGGCAGACGACAGAGTCCAATGATGGGAGCAAAAAAAAAAAATGTCTTCACCCCGCACTGCTGCTGCTGTGAACTGAACATGGGTATCCACATGGCATAGCTCTAGCAATATCACTGTCCGCCCGCGGCCGAGGCAGCACACCCCGCCCGCGAGGCATGGCACCTCCTAACGTTCCACTTAGTGCGCCTTCGTTGTGAGTGACGAGACATGTCCACGCACGAACGAATGTGAAATCGGGAAAAAAAACGAAAAAACATCCAACCGTCGGCAGCACACCAACAGCAGAAGCAGCAGCAGCAGCAGCAGGAGTAGCAGGCCTCGTGGTATGACATTCGGTTGAAAGGGGACGCCGAGACGCACACGTGGGGGGGACCCGGCGAGAGGCATCGCAAGGTGGACCCTTACTCCTGTGCGCCAGCGATGACTTGAAGCAGAATGCACTTAGGCACACAACGAAGAAAAGCCTGCAGATAGATAGGGACGATCGGAGCTGTGATCGGAGCTGTAGTCCCGAAAACCCTTGCCATTGTGAGCGAAAAGTGGGCAGGGACGATAGTCTCCTTGCCGCTCCTACCTCTGCCTGTAGGCACAACAGCAGCAGCAGCAGAAGTAACCCAATCACCACCATCATCATGGACCCAGAGGAAGTTGCTCAGTTTCGGCAGCAGAGCCGCAGCCCCTACCCGAGATCAACAACCTTGCGGAAAGGAAGACCGTGGCGCAGCAGCACCCCGGTCTCTGCGGGCACCATCACTCTCGCTGCATCGGGGCGGTCGACTTTGCCAAGGCAGCCGAGAGGAACTCGGGAGGGGCTGTCACAACGAAGCGTTTACGGAATCNAAGAGACCGCTGACATCATTAAGGCTGCGGTGGACCACACATACAGTACTCTTCAACCACCGTTGCCCGTTCTCTACACACACACCTGCTGGTATCCCCCACATGCACACGAGTACACATGGTCGCATCAACACGCCACCCCCTTGCTCACACAAATGTTTGGTACATAGCAGCAGGCAAACACGCATCAGGGCTCTCATCGGTGACTGCTGTAGGTGCTGGGCGTGAACTGGGGGGCTCGATCGAGAGAGGCAGACACACACCGGTCGCCCCGGTGGTCTCGTGGGTAACCTCGCAGCCTGCTAAGGGCCAGGTCATGGGTTCGAGTACCGGCAGAGTGAGTTTTTTTTCTCACTAAATACATCCTGGTCTAGGATGAAAGCGACGCGCTGCAAACCTCGTTGTTAGTAAACCATAATCGACTTCGTAAGTCGCGAGGGAAGGGATTGCTGTACCCTTCTCCCGATAAAAATACCTCAGGCAGGAATCGCAGGAGGGGGTCCAGTCCCCCCCTCCTATGTGACCCCGGTTGGGTCGGCTAGCAAGTAGAAGTGGAGGATAGGGGCCAGAGGGGCAGACGACAGAGTCCAATGATGGGAGCAAAAAAAAAAAATGTCTTCACCCCGCACTGCTGCTGCTGTGAACTGAACATGGGTATCCACATGGCATAGCTCTAGCAATATCACTGTCCGCCCGCGGCCGAGGCAGCACACCCCGCCCGCGAGGCATGGCACCTCCTAACGTTCCACTTAGTGCGCCTTCGTTGTGAGTGACGAGACATGTCCACGCACGAACGAATGTGAAATCGGGAAAAAAAACGAAAAAACATCCAACCGTCGGCAGCACACCAACAGCAGAAGCAGCAGCAGCAGCAGCAGGAGTAGCAGGCCTCGTGGTATGACATTCGGTTGAAAGGGGACGCCGAGACGCACACGTGGGGGGGACCCGGCGAGAGGCATCGCAAGGTGGACCCTTACTCCTGTGCGCCAGCGATGACTTGAAGCAGAATGCACTTAGGCACACAACGAAGAAAAGCCTGCAGATAGATAGGGACGATCGGAGCTGTGATCGGAGCTGTAGTCCCGAAAACCCTTGCCATTGTGAGCGAAAAGTGGGCAGGGACGATAGTCTCCTTGCCGCTCCTACCTCTGCCTGTAGGCACAACAGCAGCAGCAGCAGAAGTAACCCAATCACCACCATCATCATGGACCCAGAGGAAGTTGCTCAGTTTCGGCAGCAGAGCCGCAGCCCCTACCCGAGATCAACAACCTTGCGGAAAGGAAGACCGTGGCGCAGCAGCACCCCGGTCTCTGCGGGCACCATCACTCTCGCTGCATCGGGGCGGTCGACTTTGCCAAGGCAGCCGAGAGGAACTCGGGAGGGGCTGTCACAACGAAGCGTTTACGGAATCAACTGAGTCGCGAAAGTACCACCACGATAAGTGTATGTTGCCTGTAGCTGGCTGGCTGGCTCTAGCCCCAACACGTAGTCTATGCATAGCAGGAGCATGTCTTTCATGTGAGGATAATGTACGACATCGGAATATTCGTGCATGTAGTTCGTGTCTTCGTGCGCTCCAACATGTAGGCATGTACAGAAAAAGACATGTTGTTGTTGTTGTTGTTGTTGTTGTTGTTGTTTTTCTCCCATCATTGGG